AAGAATAAACAACAATACTCTTGAGTCTCTGACAGTCTCTTTAATGTCACTTTTTAATGCAAATCTGCTGCGTGAAATTGTGATGTAGGAAAGGAAATCGGTAGAATCAGTACAATTGATGCACCGAGGTGAAACTGTGCTATGATGATTGGTGAGGAGTGGGGACAAGTACTTTTCTACGATGGTATATCGGGGCTTGAAATTTTATTTTGTTACTATGTTCGTGGCAAAAGCTTTTGCCTTTTGTATGGTTGCCTTAATGATGAACCTTTAATGTTGTGGTCTTAAGTAATACTGTAGTCTAGAGGAACCTTTAATGTAGTCTTGGATCCGGAGATTCCAGTTTTGTTAAGGAGCACTCGAGGAAGACAACCGAGCAACTATGGCGAAACCTGGATTTAAACAGGTACGTGCCTCTCAGAACACTACCAAGGATCCCGCAGATAATATAGTATAGCAAAGTGCATGGCTTTCTAGTGGAATTCCGAGTGCAAGAAGCAATGTGATGGGGACATTAACTTTCAACTTCACTTCATTTTTGGTGGCACTGGATGAAACCCGAAAACAGGACCATGTTATTTTTCCCAGCCATAGTTTCTGTGCTAACAAAATCGATTTCCCTAGAAAAGATGAACTAACCATACCTAAACAAGGATTAGAAGAGAAATCGGTTGTTTGTTTAGTATTCCATGAAATAGGAGCTCCCCTATGAGCTTTACCATCGACGACAATATGATTCAAGAATCAGAGAGTAGTCTATGATTCCTTAAAATGTGATACAACAACTTATGGCATCCCCTTTCCTCCTTAAAAAACCAAAACCAAAAAAAAAAAAAAAGAAATAAAACGAGATGATTGGAAGTTAGCAAGCTTATGTCCACTCAGAGTTGGTATTACACACTGATATGCTTATATTTTACCTATTTATTATATCCCTAATTTGTGATTTTTGCAATATATTTTGAGTACAAATATACTATTTATGTGATTTTATCTTTAATTGTAGGAATTGTACTCAAATGACGAATTGTTGAAGTTTTGAGCTAAAATCGAATTAAAAGCAACTCAATGGGAAAGAATTGAAGATTGAAGCAATTGATGGGGAGGAAATTAATGAGTTTAGAGAATTGGAGGGCCAATGATGCAATTTTAGATTGGTTAATTAAGTTTTTGGAAAATTGGCCGAGAAGGTTATGGTTATGCGGCCGATTTGGGATTGGAATTGGATAAGAATTTTAATCCCGATATTATTTGGGAAACAAGTTTTCTTGTTCTTCAAGGAGTAGAGTTTAGCCAGAAGCCTATAAAAGGAGGATTAGGGATTTATTTTTACAACAGAACTAAACCGAAACTTGACCGAAAACCACCGAACTCCCTCCTCTTTCAGCCGACCATCACCTTCTTCCTCCATCATCCACGCGAAGCAGCCGGCCACCATCTTCACCGCCGCTTTGCTTCCATAACCACCACACCAGCCCTTCGCCACCATCTCCCTCCACCGGAGCTCCTCTCTTCTTCATCATCATCACCCTCCACGCAACAGCCACCTCTGCCTCTTCACCGCCGAGAAAGCCACGCACTTCTCCTTCCTTGCCTTCGCACACACGGCAGCAGCATCAACTCCACCTTCTCTTGATCACCGACGCCGTACCACCGAAGCACCTTCCTCCGTCATTGATCATCGGCGAGCCACGCAGCAGCGGTGAAGCGAGCAGCAAATCCGGGGAGTTTTGGCGGGTCTTTGGCGTCAATTCGGTTTTAAAGTTTAATTATTTAATTTATTTATTTTTTATTATGTCTCTAAATATTATTGAATTATTTTTAATAATGTTTAGTGGCTAAATTCCTTTAATCTAGGGCTTGGGTGTAGCCACCGAATTTATTTGGTTTATTTGGTTTATTATTATTTGATTTTTCCATTAATTAATATTTGTTATTCTTGTTTTAATTCGTGTAAGTAATTGGCCACTATTTGCATGTCTGAAGATACTAATTGAAGTAGCGAGAGTGGAAGATTAGTATTAGTTCGTAGGAATAATAAACTTAGGTTATAAGCTACGAGAGTAAGATTATAACCTTTGTAATATTTGATTCTTAATGGTCTTAATGTGCTTTTGTTAATTCCTATAGTCACGAGAGTAGTCATAGGGTTAATCTAAGTAAGAGAATTATAACACGAGAGTGTATAGTTCTTAATTAGGTGAATCGTTGTGAGATTAATGGAAGTTAAAAGTCAGATATTTGTGAATTGAACTAACCCAAATATTCGGTAGGTGAACCCAATGTCCTAGGTTTCCTTTGTCTAATTATTTGGATTAATATTATTTGTTTTTATTTTATTTAGTTTAGTTTTAAATTTTATAACTTTGAGATCATCATTTATCTAGATAATAATAGGAGTAATTTATACCTGGTAATTAGTATTCCTTCTCTGTGGGATCGACTCTACTTTCTGCTTTACTACTAGTAATTGTATTAAGTAGGTAATTATTATTTGACTAGTGTGACGACGGCTTGTCACACACACATGCTTGTGTGTGCGCCTGTTTTTTCTATGTAAAAAAAAAAAAAGAATCCGCGGTTAAGTTTAGTTTTATTTTACATCGACAGTTGTACGTGACAATATCTTTTTCCTATATGAAATTCTAAATATACTTTAACATGGATGATAATATTGGAATATTAATACCAAGAAGAGAAGAATGTAATTTCTTAAAATTAATTTTGGATGCAAAACCCATTAACACTAAGAAACTATTACATTTCATGTTTACTTTAATTCGAATTTTTCTTCTTCATTTTTTATGTTTAAACAAAATTTTTGTAATCTAGAAGTTAAAATACAAAAGGTGAAATAATTTTTGAAATTTAATAAGTATATTAATATCAACATATACAAGTTAGGAAGTATAATAACAACAACAACAACAACAGCAATAATAATAATAATAATAATAATAATAATAATAATAATAATACAAATTAAAAAATTAAAAGAAAACACGAAAATACCTGAACCCAAAAACATATGAAAAATAACTTTCCGTCACTATTTAACGGTCAAAATTAACATAATAACATCGAATAGATTTTGTGCTTAATACAGTGGCCTATTTCAGGAATAAATTTGATTAATGACCGGTAATAAAATTATCTAACAGACTTGATTTGTGGTTCACTCTATAAATAAAAGTATAAAAGATGTTAATATAGATATCTGTATAAAGTTTAATGTCTACTATTTTCACTCTGTGCAAAAGATCTCATATCCATAATCTTATACTATTTCTTATATCATTCATTAAGATTTCGATGTATGACACTGACGGGTTCATTCATGGCATCGACGGATTAATGAGTTAAGGTGTTAGTAAATTTTTTGAAAAAAAAAAGTAACAATTAAATAGATAAATGTGACAAATTTTATATAGTGGTGCAAGGAATTTCCTTAGCCTTCAATTCATGCACGATCGTTTAATTATATTGGTTTTAATGAACTTGATTAGGTGGGCGTTAGTCATGAGATCAAATTGCGGAACTGTAACACCAAAAGAGTTATGATATCCGCAATAAAATACCTTCTTGCTTATATCAAAATCGGAATTAATAAATAATAGTAGAAAATATAAAAAAAAGGTACCTATGAAACATGAAATAAAAATAATACACATGAAATTTGAGGCATCAATTTTATTCTTATTCGTCCTCCAAATACAAAATCAAGTCGCTGGTAACAGCATAAATTTGTATTAAGAACAGTACAAATTAATCCTAACTATATAGCTAAAAACTAATTGTAGAAACCTCTGTAAATAAAAGTAAACTGAAAACTCATGACTTTGTTTGTGTGATTGGCAGAAAAGCAAGATATAACACAGGAGCAAAAGCAAGACCCAGGATCATGTAGATCAAAGACTCAGATGCACTAAAGACGATCCACACCATTAACACTAAGATCACCACAAACACAATCGCTTCTGGAGGCATATTTAATCTTCTTTCGCTCCTTTTTCTTTTCTTTTTTTTTTTCCCCTTCTCCTCTTAAAAGGAAAGAATGAGATTACAAAATATATATATATATATGTACAATATAATTGATATGGAAATCAGGAATTCAAGATAATTAAGTAGTACTGATTAGAAATCATTGAAGATTATATTACTTGCAAATTTGTTTTAGTGTGGTTGCATATATGTTAATATTGGGTTTTTTTTTTTTGTATGTTAAATAATGCAGTGATTATTTTGAACGTTTGTATTATTATGTACATCAATTCCATCGATTGTTGCTAGTTGCTACTCCCCCAGTCCCCGATCAAAATGCTATTCGATTAAACAAAAAAAAAAAAAAAAATCTAATTTCCTCAATCATTATTTGTTTTTTTTTATTGGGGTACAAAATTTATTTGACTCGTGCCCTTCTTCACTTTATAGTTTATACACGTATGTCTTAGGCTTCTACGAGCTTTCTTCGTTAGTAAAACTTAATCTTAGTTCCAATTTTTTTTTTTTTTTAATAAAAAACTTAGTTCCGAGAAGCAGAAAAAAATGGAAAAAACCAAAACCAAAACCAAAATTTTGGATAAGTGGATTAACTTAAAGCAATGTTGTTTTTTATGTTTATTTTTTTTTTTTCTTTTGGAAACGGGCAATGAACTTTGAAATTACGGCCTTAGATTAGAATTGGACATGGGAATTGATCCCAACGAAAATGTAAATACGAATTAAAGTATGGGTCAAAATTATATTATATTCAAGATTAAAGGGTTCACTAGTAAATAGCAATTACAAGCTTGTGAGATGGATATCACGCCTTCCAGAAATTTTCAACGATTTTCATTATCCCAACCAAGAAAAACTTAAAGGCGCAGAAAAGTTGAAGCTAAAGAGGGACGCCTTTTAGAAGTAATTACTTAAAAAACAAAATTAAAATTCAAAATTGGCGCCTCTAACAATCTAAATAAAGTATCAATAAAATAATCCTGAAATCCTCGGTTCCAAATGCTCATCATTTTCTTCCTCCATGGAAAATTCTCTGCAACCCATTTCTTCTTCTTCATCGTACCCTAAGCTAGAGATGTCAGGCACGTCGGATGAAGAATCCCTCAAAATTTTCCCCGATGAACTCATAATCGAGATCCTCACCTGGCTTCCTGCCAAAACCCTGGTAAAATTCCGCTGCGTCTCCAAATCCTGGCGAGCTCTGATTTCAACCCCGAAGTTTATCAAAGCCCACCTCAGGAATTCCTCCAAAAGGGATGATTATGCTCACCATCGAGTTCTTTTTCGGTGCGGGACGGAATTCGGTAAAACCTGGGTGCCCAACTACGAAACTAGGTATTTCCCTCTTGCCCCTGCCTTGTTTGGTGATGTCAATACTCCTATTGAGTCAACCCCAGTGGGCGATCCTGTTATGAATAGCAGCGATGTTGTTATTGCGGGTGCTTCAAATGGTATTGTTTGTGTTTCCGTGAAAACGGATCTTTTTTTTTGGAACCCGACGATTAGGAAGTTTAAGAAATTGCCTCAATTTCTTTCTCCTGCAAATCAACGGGGGAAGAAGTACCATGTTTTGTTTGAGTACAACGAGGTTGATGACGATTATCAAGTGTGTCTTATTGATTTTGGAGAGAAATGTGTTGCTCTCTATAGTGGAAACACCAACTCTTGGAGGAAGATTCAAGGCTTTCCCGGTGAATTTGGTCACCGTTATTTTTTTGTGCGTGGGAAGCTATATTGGGGAAAAGGCACTGCTAGAAGGATAGAGATTGGTTACTTTGACTTGAAGACTGAAACAGACGGAATGCTGCAACAACCTGATTATGGGAAGGGCACTTTTGATTTGCGGGTTCGAGCTTTTCAGGGATGTCTGGCTGTCTTCTGTTATCATCGGACAAGTCATATTGACATGTGGATATGGAAGGAACAGGGGTTGAGGCAATTTTGGACCAAAGTGCTTTTAGTCCCTAAGTTGAAGGATCCCAGCCGTAAGAAGTTTTGCGTGCCAATTTTTATGTCCAAGGATGGGAAAATTCTTTTTAAGTACTGGAAAATCATGGCTCTTTCTGACCCAATGAAGAAATCTGTGACATACCCCCGTGTTAAATCCATGGGAGAACTTTGGATAGTTGAGGTGTTTGTTGAGAGTTTGTTATTGATCAATGATCATGATTCAAAAGGGCCATGGAAGGATACTGATTTGTCTGCTATTGACATGATTCGGCACCTTGCTCCACATCTAGTGTAGTAAGAGGAAGTTGACATCTCTGCTCTAATGATTTCCCAACTGGTATCTAGATTTATTCTTATAAAATGTTGTTAGATATGGTGCACACTTATCTGCGCATTTTGTTTGTGGCAAAGTTGTATTCTTCTTGCTATTTTAGTGTACTGGTTCCTCCTATTGTGTTAGAAGTAAGTGCTCACTAATGTTGTTAAATCTTCCTTAGCTAGGTGAAAGGGTAATAGTCACTGGAGAATTCAAGTTTTTAGCGTCCAATGTTTGTTTCAAGTTGTAACAAATTTATAAGGCCCGATTTGTGTTAGGATTTCTGCCACTTTCCCATTCTTGTCTTAATTGGTAGCTTCGGAATAGTTCTTAACATTGCTTGTTTCATCTTCCTTTTCCATCTGCTGCCTGCTTTTGATGTTTCCCTTTTTCCTTTTGATTGGGCACCACTAATACAAGTTAACTTATCTTTGTTACACCTTGGAGATTGGCTGTTGCAGAACTGGTCACTCTTTTTGGGGCTGGACATTTTAGTCTTATTTACAGACTGTAGCTTCCCGTACAAATTCATTAGGTTCTAAACGTGTGAACTATTTGGAAAGTAAATATGGTGACACGGAAGCTAATATGAAACCTTTAGCTTGCAATGAAAAACTTAGGATTTCACGCGCTGCTTCATTGTACAATTTGTCTTCCATTTGACAACTTTTGCTTACTCCAATCCAGTAGTATTCTTCAGCTACTGAATCTGTACAAATGCTTTAGTTGTCCATTTCATAAATTAAACTCTTGTTCCTCATCGATCCTGCTACATTTAGATATGAAATATTTGCACTAGGTAGGGTAATGAATCACTTGCACAAGGACTAATGGTATTGACTTCAGTGTAGTCTCTGTTTCCAGCTCATTTTTGTGGTTATTTTCCACATTCTGTTCTGTCAGTAATTTTATCTTTCCACCAGCTCACTCGAAACTGGAAACACCTCACAGTTGTATCACAACGCATGCGTGCTGCTTTATTTCCATCAATTTGGTAGGTCTTGAGAGGTGCTTGGCCTAGCTAGTCTTAGTCCACTGGTGTCAACGTCTGGCTCTGGTATATGAAGTGATGTCCATTCCTAAGCTGGTTGGTTGGACTTAGTTCTGAAGTATGTAGAAGTAGTTTCTTGTCTTGTTTATGCAATGGCCTTAATTCGGTTGTGACATAGGAGTAGGCTAAAGTTTATCATTGTAGCTGGGGGTCTGACTCTTTGAACAGAATCATAGAATTTTTACAATCTTAAAGTTAGTATATTGCACATATTTATTCATTCTGACTAGAACAACCCTATGGCATAGGATTTCAAAAAGTTGGGGACGCGGCATATGGTTATTCTTTTTCTTATGAAAGTTTGTTTGAATAATTAGGAGGGAATAGAGCTTTTCTTTTGTTTGTTGCAGCTACACTGATGCTTCAAAATGATTTTGTTATTCTTCACATACTCATCATGATCACCATAAGGTTTTGATCTACTCTGATATAAAATAAAAGAATAATCAGCAATACTCTGACACTCTCTTTTATCTTGCTTTTTGGTGCAAAGCTGCTGTCTGCTGTAGTAAAGGAAATCGGTTGAAGCTGTACAATTGATGCACCTGCAGTGAAACTGTGCTATGGCGATCGGCGAGCAGTTGAGGATTACTACTTTTCTACTGATGGTAAATATCAGGGATTAAATTTCTATTTTACTATGACCATGGGCGAAAGTTTTTGTATGGTTGCCTTAAGGATGGTAAAAGTAATGTTGTGGTCTGGATGAACCTTTAATGTAGTCTTGGATAACCCGGTATCTGATTGTTAATAGGAATTTAAGCGTGATGGTATTTCATGTGTTTTGTTTTGTTTTTTTTTTTCTTTTTTTAATATTACCATTAGCTCTATGGTTTTCACCTTAATAGGTAGTCATTGAATTCAAATCAGTTTTCGCCTTCTCCGTGGACTTAAATTAGGTTGATTGGAAGGGGTTCATTGAATGATAAGAATTCATCTTCTTTTACTTGCTTATTTGGGAAGTTAAGAGTTGCCTCATTTTTTTTCCACTGATACAGAATTTTATCACCATATGAATAAATGTAGAAAGAAAGGTAGTCATTCATCCAAGAATATATGCTAGATCTTGAGATGAATGAACTAGAGAAACAAGGAAAGCAGTGAAGATTGATACAGTTCATGCAATAAAAACAAATGTAAAACAAGATCACTAGGGATTGTGCAGTTCTAAACAATCATGTCACTAGATTTCTTTGAACTCAAGTATGCCGATTTCTGTTTTAGAGATGTCATTCCTGTAGGAAATGATCCCAAACTTCGGAGCTTCCAGTTTGTTAGAGAAGATCTCCAGGGAAGACAACTGAGCAACCATCTAGGATTTGTTAAGTGATGATTGTTCAGGCAAGCAGATAAATCTGAAATCTATATAAAAATAAACCTGAAAGTCTTTTGCAGGATAAGGCACGGAACTATGCCTACATTCTTCTACTTAAGCTATCAAGGTTCCAGCTGATAAAATAGCAATGTGAAGTGTGCATAGCTCCCACGGGGAATATGAACCTTCAACTGAACTTCATTTTTGTGGTACCCGAAAAAGGGACCAGTTATTTTTCCAAACCAGTTGAACTTTCTTTCTACATCTAATGTTTGTTGGTAGATCCCTGTGGAAAGATCTTATTCAATAACAAGGATTACTAGAGAAAATTGATTATTTTGTTTAGTCTTCCATGAAATAGGAGCTAGCTCTCCTATGGATCAGGGCACATGACTCAAACCCTAAATTGTATACCTTTTGGAATCACAAAAACTTTGAACCAACCATCTTGATTGTTTTTCCTCACAACTGGATAAACCTCAATCAGGAGCTGTGGAAACTTTTCCCTTAAATACTCTTGCAGTACAATGATTTTAGAACCGTCCTTACATTTTCTGGGAACTTTTAGAAATAGCAGCCGTCTTTTTAATCAGTCTTAAAAGGTCCTCAACACTCGGGTTGAATGGCCTGTCGCACTTGGTGCATCCCCTTCAAGGGAACACAAACAGCCGGCTCACAAGTCACAACTCTGCTGATCAGCGTTCCAGATTTCCACTTCACTTTCAACAGCACCATCTATGTTAATAGGTAGAAATAGATCCGCGTTGCTTATGGAATAAAGTTTGGTTACGACTTATGAGAACATCAAGCTTTTGAGTAGCACTTTCCATTGGCAAATTCGGAACGGAAACTAGGCCTTCAACATCAATGACAGACTCAGGATTCAGGGCAGAAGCAAACTTTACCATCCAGCGCAGATGTTGCCCTAGAGGCTTGAGAGGGATTTAACCAATATAATAAGGAGAAAAAATTATAAAAAGAGATTGAAGAAGAAGAAAGAGAGGTTTAGGAAGGGAGATCTTCAGATGGTGATGCTATAAAACCAAATTGATGGAACTCTTTTCGAATTCCAATTGATGAAACATATATTTCAGTCAGGAGTGTAAGAGGGTTGATTAGAAAGATTCAGAATTTCAACAAATTGTGCCCTGGAGGAGAATCATCATTCTCCTTCCTCCTGTTCCGGCAAATTATCGGATGATCATCTGCATTCTGATTTCGGCTTAAAAATGAGTTTGGAAACATATGTTAATGAATTCAATTAGTAAGTTTATTCATTCAGAGAATTGTGAAGGCAATTGAAGATAAATGTTGGAAAGTTTTTATGCTTCCAACGATTGTTTCAAGTTGTATTGAATCTCTAAGGCACACTTTGTGATAGAATATCTGACACACTTCCATGCTTGTCTTAATATGTAGCTTCCATTGGTACAACTTGATTTTGGATTCAACTTACCTTTGTAGCACCTTGGAGAGTGGCTGTTGCAGAACAGGGTCACTCTTTTGGGGGGCTGGAAATTTCAGGCTTCTCTGCAGATTATAGCTTTCCATATAACTTCATTATGTTCTAAATCAACAAAATTTTCGAAATGTGAATATGGGTGACCTGGACCTAATATAAAACCTTTACCTTGCAATGAATTCAGATACTGCTTCATTTTAGAATTTTTCCATCTGACAACTTGTTACTAACTCCAATCCAATAGTGTTCTTCAGCTAAACAGAATCAGAACAGATGCCTTAACTGTCCGTTTCATAAATTAAACTCTAGTTACTTGTTGGCCTCGCTACATTTGGTTATGAAATATTTGCACTAGGGTAGGGTAATAATCAGTTGCACGATGATTAGTATTATGGACTTCAGTGTAGTCGCTGTTTCCAGCTCATTGTTGTGGTTATTTACCACATCCGTTTGGTCAGGATCTTGAGCTTTCCACCCGCTCATTCAAAACCAACGCTCACTAAATCTTACTACAGTCACAAATCATTCTCGCTGCTTTAATACCACTACTTTAGTAGGTCGAAATGGTACTCAACCTGGTTAGTTTTAAGTTCACGTCAAGGTCTGGCTCTGGCATATGAAATGATGTCCGTTCCTAAGCTGGTTGGCTGTACTTATTATGAATCTGTAGTTCTGAAGTATGTAAGAGCAGTTATCTTATCTTGTTTAGGCCTTAATTTGGTTGCTGTTTAGGGATATGCTATATTTTATCTTTGTTGTTGGGGCTCAGACTCTTCGAACAGAATCACATAATCTACAGTCGTATTGTTGGTTCAATGCATATAGTTATACATTCTGACCAGAACAACCCTATGACATAAGATTTCTAAAAGTTGGTGACAGTACCCAATCATTGTCATCACCATCATCATCAGCGGCCTGATTTTATATAGTTTAGCTAACTTTAAGCTTTCTTTTTCCAGTCATCATCAGATTCTTTTGGTTCCCCTGTTGCTGAGCTGACCTATCACTACTGTTCTCATCCTCACAATCATTGTCATCAATTTCAGACGCCAACTTTCGCTTCTTCTTTCTCTTATTTTTCTTCTCCAAAACCTTCAGACTATCATTCCTCATCAAACGGGCTAATGAGATGATATTCTCCTCAAAATAAGACCAGCCCCGGAAGTTTTCAATGCAGTGTTGATCACGAAGCGATGAACCCACTCGATTAATGAGTACCCTCATCATACTCCAGAGGAGTCATTCCTGTTCCGCCTGACGGACCATACAAATAAAGTATCGGTGAAGAGGAATTCGCGTATAATCATACAGGATCATGGTCTTTCCATCTGGAAGAATGCGCAGCACAGTAAGATACACTTTGAGATAGACGTCTAATACTGGAGGTTGTCCTGGCCCTCCATATTGGAAAGACCCAAGCTCCTCGATATGGTGGACTTTCTCGCACCTGTCGCACCCGTGGTAGCATTGGTAGCTCGGGAACCCAAGTTCCGCATCCATTATTTGCATCAAGGTCATAACGAAGAATCTTCGATTCACTCGTCACGACTAGATTGGGTCCAAAATTCACAAGACGCAACTTATCATAAGAAGATTCTGTAGGGAATATTTCTCGGGGTATAGGATCAATGTGAATGAACATCTCCTTAGTCAGATGAAAGCCAGCAATTATTCTAGTACTATTCTGCTCCCAGCAAAGAATTCCACCCAAGCATTTACTTGGAGAAGTTTACTTGGAGAAGTTATAGTTTGAATTAATGGCTTGACATCATCTAAGATTCTCCAACAAGAGTCAATCCCGATGGTGAGAATGGCCACATCATCATAATAACCAAATGTTTTGAGTAACTTGTACCATTTGCGGACAGGATCGAAACCCAAGTGATAACAATATTTCCATTTGCTGATTCCATCTTCATTGGGAGGCCGCGGCGAATCAGGAAGTCTCAACATCTCCCGGGTAGCAATGTTGTAGAGCCATGACTTCTTGCCCCGATACAAACACACTCGACCGTTCACTACGTTCGTAAATTCTTTGCCTTTGTGGTTGTGATCGTGCTGGAGGGCATGGTGATGAAGAACTTGATACTTGCCGTTCATGATGAAACATTTGTTAAGAGGGAGGTACCATAGATTTGTAGAAGGAATTCCGAATCGGGTTTAAAGGAAAGAAGACCAGCAGAACCACCATGGTAGGCGCCGGTGAATTCCGGGTCGGTAATACACCATCCGATCCCGATCCTTAATATAAGGCATTTTGATTTGTCCTAAGTTTTACTTAAGACGTCTTTTTAATTAAGAAAAAAATCTTAAAAATATATTTTCACATTCTCCTAATTATTATAAAATGTGTTTAAGTTTTTATTTCAATTGAAAATACATCTTAGGTGAAACATAGGACAAAATCAAAATGACTTATAATAAGGACCGGAGGGAGTAATTGATAACCAAGTTGGAGATACGCACTTGAATCGCATCAAACTTGTCAGTGGAATCCTTTTCAGAATTTCTTCAACCAGATCGTTTGGTATCGTCATCGTGTTGATAGCGGCTGGACGAAGAATACCAGCCAGGGAAAAAAAAACAATGACAATGTCTCAAGGAAGAATTTTTTTGAGGAAAATTACTGAATAAATATTAGGGTTTAAGGGAGTGTTTAAGGAGTGATAATGAATATCTTCAGATCTTCTACGGTTTCGTCTGTTTTGGAAAGGGAGGATTTTATGGCATCAATTCTTCCAAATTGTTTAGCCAAAACCAACATAACCTGCCCAATTCAAACAAAGTTCGGACTTGGTAATAGTGAAAAGGGCCGCACACTTTAGATGAGAAAATTATTTGAGCTGCGAAAAGAAAAGAAAAAAAGAGAAGAAGAGCACAGTAGCACACCATTGTGTGTGTACACCACGTCACCACCAATGGTAGGAACCAGTATTATTTGGAACAGGTTAAATATTCCAATGCATCTTTATGA